ATGTCCAAACCACTGTCCCTCCTCTGGATGTGTCCAAACCACTGTCCCTCCTCTGGATGTGTCCAAACCACTGTCTGTCCTCTGGATGTGTCCAAACCACTGTCTGTCCTCTGGACATGTCCAAACCACTGTTTGTCCTCTGGACATGTCCAAACCACTGTCCCTCCTCTGGACATGTCCAAACCACTGTCCCTCCTCTGGACATGTCCAAACCACTGTCCGTCCTTTGGAGATGTCCAAACCACTGTCTGTCCTCTGGATGTGTCCAAATCACTGTCTGTCCTCTGGACATGTCCAAACCACTGTTTGTCCTCTGGACATGTCCAAACCACTGTCCCTCCTCTGGACATGTCCAAACCATCTCAGTGTGTCCTCTAACTTTATCTCCCAGGTGTTCAACCTGTGCTGTACCTCTGATGATCTCATTCCTGATCTTCTACATCCTTGTCTCTCCTAAGGAGAACCTCAACATCTTCATTTCTGACACTTCCAGTTCTGTCTCCTGTCTTTTTGTCCATGTCTCTGTCTCCAGACCATAGAACATAGCTGGTCTCACCACTGTCTTGTAAACTTTGACCTTTGCTGACACCCTTTTGTCTCAAATCACTCCTGAAACTTTCCTCCATCACTCCATCCTGCCTGGACTCTCTTCTTCACCTCTTCACCACACTCCCCATGTTCCTGGACAGTGGACCCCAAGTCCTTGAAGTCCTGCACCTTTGTGACCTCTGATCCTTGTAGCCTCACTGTTCCACCTCCTCCCTCTCATTCATGGACTCTGTCTTACTACGGCTGACTTTCATTCCTCTTCTTTCAAGTGCATACCTCCACCTCTCCAAGTTCTCTTCCACCTGTTCCCTGTTCTCGCCACAGGTCACGTCATCTGCAAACATCATAGTCCACGAGGATTCCTGCCTGACCTCATCTGTTAGTCGGTCCATCACCAGAGCAAACAAGAAGGGGCTCAGAGCCGATCCTTGATGCACTCCCACCTCCACCTTGAAGCTATCTGTCACTCCTACAGCTCATCTCACCACTGTCCTGCTGTCCTCATACATGTCCTGCTGTCCTCATACATGTCCTGCTGTCCTCATACATGTCCTGCTGTCCTCATACATGTCCTGCTGTCCTCATACATGTCCTGTATCAGAATCAGAATAAGTTTTATTATCATTGATCCAGCAGGTCCATGATCAGTCCATGCAGGTAGATGGATGATCATGGAGACAGCCACCATGACCGGCCTGAGCTCGAGGCTGGAAGGACTGAACCACGATGGCACGATAGCAGCAACACAGAAAACTCCACGAGTGTGTCGTGGTCATACCCGTACGGTGGATGTGCAGTGTAGGTTAAAAAAAAGTTAAAACAAAAACAACAGAACAATAAAGATTGAGTTCACCAGGAGCCTGTGAAGCTGCGGCTTGGCTGAGCACGGCCATCTTGGCATCATACTTCTTCTATCACCTACCTTCACCCATCTACCTTCCTTCTCTGCATCATGTCAGCCAGCTCTCTACCTTTGCCTGTCATTGTCCCCACATTTAGAGTTGCAACTCTCAGTGCTCCACTCTTGTCTTTCCTCTTCTCTGTCTCCTGACACGTTTCCCTCCTCGTGGTCTTCCAGTAACTGCAGCACAGGTTCTGCCGGCATCTTGTTTGTCAACAGCACCGGTGGCGGTCGTTGTTAACCCGGGTCTCAACTGGTCCTGTATGGTGTCGCTTAGATGAACTCTCATTATGGTTTTGCAAGTGTTTTACGTCAGATGCCCTTCCTGACACAACCCTCAAAATTTACCGGGGCTTGGGACCAGAACCAGACCTACACTGGCTTGTGCTCCCTAGTTGATCAGTTTTACTGAACCTACATTTCATATGTTTAATCTGGACCAGTCTAAACACCATAAGAACTGGTTCTGATCTCAAAAAGTAGCTTAAGGTTTCAGGTTATGACCAGATCCACAGTCCACGTCCCATCTGTGGTTCTGATTCTGTTTCAAACTGAAGTCCAGAACCGAGTTTTGGGCTTGAGTGGTTCTCTCCTCTGATTGCCTCACAGGATCTGATGTCAGCCGGTCCAGCTCGTGAACACAAAAAGCCGGTTCTGGTTGTGACCAGCTGTTTTCTGTGTTGCAGATCGAAGTCCTGAAGGTCTTCACTCGGGAGGATCTGGTCTCCTGGTTCTGGCAGCACCGAGGCAGCAGCAGGAAGCTCAGTGTGCACGTTAGTCCAGACAGCTGATAATTATGGTTCCGTAGACTGGTTGATGGTCCTGGTTCTGTAGACTGGTGACGTTGCTGCTCTGATGCCACTAACATCTCGGTCTCCTGACAGGTGGTGGGTTTTGGGGTGGAGGAAAACGACCCCCCCGATCAGGGCGCTGCCAGCCCCGAAGACTCTGCCCCCTCGGCTTACGGTGAAGTGAGCCAGCTGACCTTCCTGCCAGCCTCATCACTGAATGAGGCCACGCCCATCACTGACATCAGAGCATTTAGCTCCTCCCTCCCCCTCCACCCATACCATAAAATCCTGTTTTAGGCCCCTCCCACTGCTGCAGTAACCGTGGGGACACAAAGGACCAGTCCTGTCTCTGCCTGTAACAGTGCTGCTGTCACTTCCTGTAGGAAACCTCAGTGGGAGTAGGACTCGGATTGTGACTGGTCGAACTGGGCCGGTCGGTTCTGATGAGTACAGAACCATCAGTCCTTTGGCATAACGAATGCAGCACCATGACTCGGTTCTGGTTCTGAAAGAACTTCCGTCCAGCATGCAAACAGAGTAGACGTAGGAACGAACTGCTTCTTTTAATTTCAACCTTTTGATTGAGTTCACCTCATAAATGGCCACTTTTATTTTATTCCACCCATCTGTACAAACAACTAGTTTTTTTATTTTACTTGGTACTTTGAACATTTTTGACCCAGTTGCTGTATAATGGCTTGTAAGAACACAAAGCGGGGTAGGACAGCTGCTGCTGTTCGGTGTATTGTTTTTGAACTACCAGTGCTTAGTGTATTCTTAGTTTAGCATATTTCTTAGTTCATATCTTAGATCTTATCACTGTTTTTCTTTACAGTTTGTATTTTTTGTTGGATGTAACTGGGACCCTGTGTGCACAGTTTCATTGACAAATAAAGAAACTTTGGCTTTGAGGAAGGAGGATACCGGCTTAACTCTGGAGGCCGTCACCTCGCTACTTCAGCAGCATGAAGAGGATTTGGCGACTGAATCCAAATCTTCTTTTAACGTGCTCAGCTCCAAGCTGGACCAGGTACGACCTGCCCTGGAGCAACGGGCTGAGCGAGTCTCGTCCTTGGAGCTCACAACAGAAGATTTGAGCAAGCGAGTCGCCAACCTCAAAGACACGTGTGTCACCCTTCATGAAGACAACACTAAGCTAAAAGACAAAATCACTGGTCTGGAGAGCTGTACATCAGAACGTCTTCATCCTCGGTCGACCTGAAGACACTGAAAGTGGACGTCTCACTCTTATTTTCTGACCTCCTCTGCAAGCTATTTAGGAAAGAGGTGCTCCCAACTCCAGCAGAGCTCGATAGAGCTCAGCGCTCTCTGGAAACTAAACCACCTTCAGTGCGCTCACCCCGCCCAGTGATTCTTTGCCTGCACAATACCAGACCAAATACCTTGTCATCCAGAAGCCAGAAGAGGGAAACTTGACTATCGAGGCCTATCCATCCATGTTGAGGAGGACTACGGTCCAAATGTCCTCAACCAGCCCGTGGTACAAGGACATCATGATGAAGCTCTACAAGCGGGGGCTTGAGGCCGACTCGCCTCTTCCCGTTCATGCTTGGTGTAATGCAGCCCAGTGGTGCCAAAATGCTCTTCAGCTCCATGAATGAGGCTCAGTAGTACATCAAGGGGCTCCTAAACCTCTGGAGACCTCAAAAGGGAACAATGCTACAATTGAAACAAGGATATTGGATACAAGACAGGACGTATACACACCGAGGGCCCAGTCTGGAGACGTGCACTGATGCTCTCTCAGAATCAGCTTTCTCTCTGTGCTCTCAGTCAAGGCAGACGTGTCCTCTTCTGCTCCGTCCCCCCGTTTCGCTGCTTTGCTCTCTTGTCTTGTGAACCCTTTATAATTTTTTTTTTCCTGCATACCTTCCTAATTCGATGGATTTGATCAGCTGGTCTCTCCACAAAACTGATCAACTTCTCCTGACAGGAAGTCAGGGTGAATGGAGGACCCTCTTACCTGGACAGAAACAATATTGGATTCATGATGACAACTGGATTCTGCTGTTTGGGTTGGTGAAGTCTGGATTGTCTTCAAATTGGTGTGTAATGTGTCGAAGCTTGGCAGCACTCAGACTGAATTATGTGGAGCTGCGTCAGAGCTGCAGCAGCTGATATCAGGACTGTGAACTTTCTGGCAGCACCCGTGAACGGTTGGGAATAATCTTGGAGAAGCTGTGAGCTCGACTTTTGGCGTAAATAATCAGCTCGGCAGTTTGGAGTCACCATCAGAGAAATGTACCAGCGAGACTTTAAAAGGCAGAAACGGCAATTTACAAGTTCTGCCTGACCCAAACTGTGGACCTGGACCTGGCCTTGAAGGTGGACTCTCAATTCCTCCTGGGATTTTATGAAAACAAAGACATTCTGTCTGTCTCCTCACCCCTCACTTCCTCAAGGCCGTGGACATGTGACAGAACCTCAACCGAGATGATGATAACGGACACCTCTTATCTGGACAATGGTTGAGGGGGGCTCTGGACTATGATACGACCTTCCCTTAAAACTCAGTACCGTCACCAGCCTCATGCATTATGTCTGTTTATGTTGCTTTGCTGTGGTAGGTTTTTTACTGTGCCCTGTCTAGGACATGGTTTGAGAGATCTTTTTTTATACCTTCTCTCATGTTTTCTTCTCTTTTTCTCATCTAAGCCTAAAAGTATTCTGAAAAAGATAAGAGACCGCGCTCTTAAAGAGCAGCAGCAACGAGCACTCCGCCCATCTTTCAGACGACTGTACGGACATACTCTCGTTGTAGCTCAGTAAAATGATAATAAAGCTTATTCTGATTCTGATTTATTGTCATTGCACTGAAGCACAACAAAATTACATTTCAGTACAGCCCGCCCGAGAAAACATAAACGGGAGACAGAGGCGTCTGAGGCCGTGGCCTTCAGGAGGCACAGCCTTTTTCGTTTAGATAAGAAAAAGAGAAACACGAGGGGAGGGGAGGTATTAAAAGAAAATCATATCTCACACTGTGTCCTAGACGGGACACGGTAAGAAAGTTGCAAAAAAAGACCTCAGCACAGAAACGGTAACAGACTGATGACATCATGTATGTATATTTATGCATGAGGAGGCCGACGAAGGCTGTGAGTTGTCCGTGGATGCTGCCAGATACTTTCAAAGTCCTGATAAGAGATGGTGCAGTGTCTATCAGCTGGCTCAGGCCTGACACAGATCCACACACGTCCTCGGGAAGGGAGCGGGTACTGGAGGGGGGGAGCAGAGCTCCTGTTTCACATAACGACCAAGAGAGTCTGAGATAGTTGGCCAGTTCAAGGCCAAGTGGGGAAGCCAGATTCAGATAACTATTTTGGGTCAGGCCGGCTCTGCTTGATTTCTGTCTGCCTTATAGATCTACTGGTACATCTATGGTGACTCCAAACTGCCAAATTATTGTGGTCAGCACTGCCGGGCCGAGCTTGTAGCTTCTCCAAGGTCAATTAACTTCCTGCCAACAAGTTTCAGGAGCCGCAAGCGGTCGGCGATTCTCAGAAATCACCTCCAGCTTACGTCTCAGCTCATGCAGCATCTGAGTCCGAGTGCTTATCGCTCGGCACATTCCTTCACACAAGCCGGGCAGCCTCACAAAGGCCAGAACAGCTGCCGACAGGTAACCGCCAACTCCAAAAAGCAGAAGTCCTGGTATCATAAATCCAGTTATGTACGTGTCTTCAGCATCATCAATGGACAATACATATATGTGTGTGTATATATATACATATGTGTATATAATGTATTTACGTACATACGTTTCTGTTCAGTGCCCTGAGATGACTTCTGTTGTGAGTTGGCACTATATAAATACACTGAATTGAACAAACGTCTCTTCATTTCTTTTATCAAAACTCAAATGGTGATCGTTAGAGCCATTTTATGATGTTGGTGTTATTTGTGAACACTAGGGGGCGTAATATGCTGTCATTGTCTCCACACCCATAAAGGCCAGGTGCACAGGTGCACAGGTGTGATGAGCCAGGACAGAGACCGTTTTTTGACGGTGTAAGGCGTGTTCCAGAACGTGTTCCAGAACGTGTTCCAGAACGTGTTCCAGAACGTGTTTCAGAACGTGTTTCAGAACGTGTTCCAGAACGTGTTCCAGAACGTGTTCCAGAACGTGTTTCAGAACGTGTTTCAGAACGTGTTTCAGAACGTGTTCCAGAACGTGTTTCAGAACGTGTTCCAGAACGTGTTCCAGAACGTGTAAAAGTGTGTTTGAAAGTAAGTGGACGTGCACGGAGTGTGACTGGAACCTTCTTGCATCATCTATAAGCTGAATGAAATATGGAACCTTGAAGTGGAGGCAAGTAACGCATGGACTTTGTTAAAATACAGAAAATAAGTGACGCATAGCTTTACAACAAGGAAGTTATTAAAGAACACTTAACAGCTGTCAACTCATCACCCGTGGTGCTCGAGCTTTAAATGAAAAGTTTGGCCCCACAGTGATGATGTGCTGCAAACACTCGCTGCTTTCTTTGTACGTTTCAGTTTGTAGCTCCTAACGTCTGAAATGACTGGATGAAAATGACCAGATATTATTTACAGCAACCCTCCAAAGGTTACACACAACCGTTTGTGATATTGTTGAATGAACTTCTACAGATATTTCACAAACAGAATAATAACGTGGTGTAACAGATTCAGATGTTTAATGTCCAACAGATGAGACGCTTTCTATTCGTCTATTTATTTATTTTATTTATTAAGCTTTATTTCAACAGGCAAATCCCATTAAGATCACAGATCTCTTCTGAAGGGAGGCCTGGGCCGGAAGGCAGCCTAACACGCATGTTTCTGGTCTGTGGGAGGAAGCCGTCTACAGACAGAACTGATTAAAGACTCAGCTTCTTCAATCAGCTTCATTCTCGTGCTAACATCTTTATTCAATGCTCCGGTCCTGATCACTGTCTGGAGGTAAACCATGCACTTGGATGAAAGGAGATGTTCCTCGGAGTGTACTGGTAAAATCAGAGGGTCTGAAGAGGAGAAGAACAGATGAACGAGTGCTCAGTTTCAGCTGAACAGTCTGTAGAAACCCATCTTCTGGGGTTTTCGACCAGGACACAGTCTGAACCAGCAGCCGGCCCCTTCAGTCTGACAGCAGAACCATCAGCCCACATCCAGGAGTCCAGACCTCCAGACAAACCTGAGGAGGGGCAAATTAAATGAAAGGAGTAAAACTGAAGTCCACGTTGTTGCATCAAATTTATCTCTAAAACTGTTCAAATCAGACTGACTACACACAGCACTTATCTGGAAGCTGTTTATATATAATCTGGATAATCTGGAGTTTTTCAGGATGTGAACTGTCAGCAGGGAGAACATGTTTATTATTTTTGATTAATTTCAACCCACCGATCCAGAATGGGTTCTTTCCAGTGAACCTCCACATCCAGCTGACGTCTCTCCTGGAATGAGCGCTGCTCAGGCTGCTGTTGAAGCTGATGAGAAGAAGAAGAACCATCTGCATCACATGAACCAGCGAGGTCTGAAGGACCAAACAGGGCCAACAAATCTGTTAACTAACCCCAATGACCAGCCGGTTATCTGGATTAACTAACCCCAAACCAGCCAGTTATCTGGAGTAACTAACCACAATGACCAGCCAGTTATATGGATTAACTAATCACAACGACCAGCCAGATATCTGGATTAAAGTACCCCATCGACCAGCCAGTTATCTGGATTAACTAACCCCAACAACCAGCCAGTTATCTGGATTAACAAAACACAATGACAAGCCAGTTATCTGGATTCAATGACCCTAACAACCAGCCAGTCATCTGGATTAACTATCCCCAACGACCAGCCAGTTATCTGGATTAACTAACCACAATGACCAGCCAGTTATCTGGATTAAATTACCCCAACGACCAGCCAGTTATCTGGATAAACTAACCCCAATGACCATCTCCTTATCTGGATTAAATTACCTCATTGACCAGCCAGTTATCTGGATTAACTAACCACAATGACCAGCCAGTTATGTGGGTTAACTAACCCCAACGACCAGCCAGTTCTCTCGATTAAATAACCCCAACAACCGCCCAGTTATCTGGGTTAACTAATGTATTGAACTAGGCCTCCAATCAAAACCTGCCTCTGAAGACCTTCATGGGACAGGAACTGTTATTTCATCGATTTGAATCCAGAAATACAAATTAGCTCATCCAGAGACTTTCTAATTGTATCCTGAACTAATCAATTGAAAGAACACTCTCTTTTTTATATTATCATTACTATTTTACAATATCTTGATAATCAAAAGTGTGTTTAGTTCATACCATTTTTAAATGTTGAAGTGAACCACTCATTTTAAATCAACTGTGAAACAGTAGTAATGATTTTTAATCCTCATTCAAAGTAGAAATCAAGTTAAATGTCTATGTTACAAAGTAATTATGCATTTTTGATCTTCTGTCTGAAATGAGAAAGAGTGATGTCGGTCAAAAGTCGGAGACAGTCAAGAAACAAGTTGTTGGAACAAGCTGTCGTGTTTTTAAAACTCTCAGACAGTAACAAGAGAACTGGCACCGGCAGTGTTTCTCACTTCGTCAAAACATTTCTCTGTCTGTTCCTAAACATTTCTGCTGTTTTCTCGACTTGTAAAAACCCTTTGACGTCACTAGAACCACACCCCTGTTGGTTGCTTCAACCAATCAGGACTTCCTAAAAGTGACCGGAAGCAGAACTCTTTAAAAGTCGACAGTTCCTAGAACTGTTAGTTCCTCTGAGTTCCTCTGAGTCTTCTGAGTTCCTCTGAGTTTTTTCAGTTCTTCTGAGTCGAGTTGGGACTATGGAGTCTTCCACATCTGAGTGGAACCTCTGACGGACTCACAGTTTGCTGTGTATCCACCCTGGAGATGAGCGTGTTTGTTGAACGGAGTACCGTCACTACTTCGGATGATTCTCAGCCATCCTGACCGGAGACGCTGAAGGTAGCGTTGAAATGGAACTCCGTACCGGAGCTGACCTATCTTCTGCAAAGGTAACGAGTCGCTTCACTACCGAGTGTACCGGGGCTGAGCTGGGGTCGGATGAAGGGTGCCATTCCTAGTCAACACTTTCCCTCATCCATCCATTTTCTCTCCATTTAAACTTCTTCTTTTCCCATCTTTAAACTTCTATCTTGCCAGTAATTAATCCAGATATCTTCAGAAATGTCTGTTGTTTTTATTAAGTAAAACGTGCCGTTTTATTAATCAGAAGCAAATCAGTCTAATCAAGTGTACAATGTTTTGATGTTAAATTTTGATTCTGTTAATAAATGACCACATTTATTTTGATGGGTCAAAGAAAATTAACGTCTCATGTCACTGATTAAACCATCTACGCACAGTACCTCTGTCACATATCTGTCAAGTAGCTCGAAAAAGAAAGAACCCGTTATTAAAATATAATTGTAGTGGAGCTCTGGAGCTAATCGAGCCATTTAGCACACTGCACTAACCACAACGACCAGCTACTTATCTGGATTAACTGACCCCAACGACCAGCTGCTTATCTGGATCAACTGACTCCAACGACCAGCCAGTTATCTGGATTAACTAACCACAACGACCAGAAAGGTAACTTGATTAACTAATCCCAACGACCAACCAGTTATCTCGATTAACTAACCCCAATGACTAGCCAGTTATCTGGATTAACTAATCACAACGACCAGCCAGTTATCTGGATTAACTAAACACAATGACCAGCCAGTTATCTGGATTAACTAACCCCAGCGACCAGCCAGTTATCTGTGTTAACTATCCCCAACGACCAGCCAGCTATCTGGATTAACTAACCACAATGGCCAGCCAGTTATCTGGATTAAATTACCCCAACAACCGCCCAGTTATCTGGGTTAACTAACCCCAACGACCAGCTGCTTATCTGGATTAACTAACCCCAACGACCAGCCAGTTATCTGGATTAACTATCCCCAAAAACCAACCAGTTATCTGTCTTAACTAATTCCAACGACCAGCCAGTTATCTCGATTAACTAATCCCAACGACCAGTCAGTTATCTTGAATAACTAACACCAATGACCAGCCAGTTATCTGGATTAACTAACCCCAACGACCAGCCAATTATCTGGATTAACTAAACACAATGACCAACCAGTTATCTGGATTCAATGACCCCAATGACCAGACAGTTATCTGGATTAACTAACCCCAACGACCAGCCAGTTGTCTGTGTTAACTATCCCCAACGACCAGCCAGTTATCTGGATTAACTAACCACAATGACCAGACAGTTATCTGGATTAAATTACCCCAACGACCAGCCAGTTATCTGGATTAACTAACCCCAATGACCAGCTCCATATCTGAATTAAATTACCCCATCGACCAGCCAGTTATCTGGATTAAGTAACCACATCAACAAGCCAGTTATCTGGCTTAACTGACCCCAATGACCAGCCAGTTATCTCGATTAACTAACCCCAATGACCAGCCAGTTATCTGGATTAACTAGCCACAACGACCAGCAATGTAGCTTGATTAACTAATCCCAATGACCAGCCAGTTATCCGGATTAATTTATCACAACGACCAGCCAATTATCTGGATTAAAGGACCCCAACGACCAGCCAGTTATCTGGATTAACTAAACAAAATGACCAGCCAGTTATCTGGATTCAATGACCCCAACGACAAGCCAGTTATCTGGATTAACTAACCCCAACAACCAGCCAGTTATCTGTATTAACAAACCCCAATAACCAGCCAATTATCTGAATTAACTGACCCCAACAACCAGCCAGTTATCTGTATTAACTAACCCCAATGACCATCCAGTTTTCTAGATTAACTGACCCCAACAACCAGTCAGTTATCCATCCATCCATCCATCCATCCATTATCTTTACCCGTTTATTACATTTTGGGTCACGGGGGTCGCTGGTGCCCATGTCCATCAATCACTGTGTGAGGGGCGGGGTACACCCTGGACAGGTCTCCAGTCCATCACAGGGACACATGGAGACAAACGAGACAAACAACCGTTCACTCTCTCACTCACACCTAGGGACAATTTAGAGTTACCAATCAGTCTAACATGCATGTTTTTGGTCTGTGGGAGGAAACTGGAGTACCCGGAGAAAACCCACGCATGCATGGAGAGAACATGCAAACTCCACCCAGAAAGGCCCCTGGACCGGGGTTTGAACCAGGGACCTGCTCACTGAGAGGCAGCAGCTCTACCAGTTACGCCACCGTGCTGCCCAGCCAGTTATCTGTATTAACTAAACCCAACGACCAGCCAGTTATCTCGATTAAATAACCCCAATAACCGCCCAGTTGTCTGGGTAAACTAACCACAATGACCAGCTTCTTATCTGGATTAACTAACCCCAACGACCAGCCAGTTATCTGGATTAACTAACCCCAAAGACCAACCTGTTATCTGGATTAACTAATCCCAACGACCAGCCAGTTAGCTGGGTTAACTAACCCCAACGACCAGCCAATTATCTGTGTTAACTATCCCGAACGACCAGCCAGTTATCTGGATTAACTAACCACAACGACAACCCAGTTATCTGACTTAACTGACCCCAACGACCAGCTGGTTATCTGTATTAACTAACCCAAATGACCGGCTGGATCTGTACTCAACTCTTCCTATCTGTACATAAGCGTAGAATCTTTATTTCCGAAGGTTCTGCTTCAACCAGAACCAAACAGAACACCAAGGTCTTTACAGCTGGGAGCAGGTTCTGTCGGCGCTGGCCCAGCTGGCCACAGATGGACTGATGATGTAACAGCGTCTTCTGTAGAACGTCCAACCATCGGGACACAAGTTGCTGATGGACCGGGCCGTCTGAAAAAAACGGGTCAAAGCAGAAACAAGGTTTAATTTCAGGAGGTCCTGAGGAGCATCAGGTCCAAGTTCTTCTGAAGATTCATGCGGTTCTGGTTCTGCAGCCTGGAAATGTTCTGCTCGCTGGTCTGACGGAGCGATGAGAAGATAAAACTGAGCTGTTCTTTAGAACAACACTTCAGCTTCTTCTGTACAAACATCCTGATCCAACAGAACCTGAACTCGGGTTCTTCAGTAGAACCTCTGACAGGCCTGCGTTAGAAACTGGACCAAGTTTCAAGTTCACTGAATCAAGAACGGTTCTGGTTCTGGTTCTGGTTGGAGCTAAACTTCAGTTAGAAGGTTCAACTCTGAGATTTGAGTAAAAAACCTGCTGCACCTCCTGCAGGAGGTGACCCTGCAAGGTTCTCCTGTCCTGTCACTGACAGATGTAAACAAGCTCTCGTTGGACACTCACTTCCTGTCCTCCTCCTCCTTTGAGCTCAGAACTTCCAGGAGTCGGTCTCAGCTGGCCCCCCCTGTGGACGTGGGTCTCTCTGTCCTGAGGGTCCGGCTGATCCTGGGGCTCCACTCCTCTGTAGTCCAGGGACAACCAGCGATTTGGGACGTCTCCTCTGGGAGGGTGGTGCTGGTTCTCCCACAGAAGTTCTGCCTCGATGTCCATGACTGGGTCCTCCTCTGGCTGACGGGGGTCAGGGAGGCGAGGAGGTCCAGGAGAAGGCTGGTGGTCCTCCTCTGGATCACACCTTCCTGTCAGACAGAGATCAGGGTTTAAATCAGACCCCTGAAGGTTCTAAGCAGGTTCTCCCACAGGCTGCAACTGGACCAGCAGGTACTGACCCGTTCCAGACCAGCGTCACGTACAAACCAAAAAGTTCTAAAGGTTCTGATCCACCTCGCCTGGGGTCCAGGATCTCCACAGTCGCAGACGTTCTCTGTCCCAGAACCGAGTTCTGAGGGGTTTTCAGCTGGACCCTGAATGTCTCGTGGTTCTCCTCCAGACCGTCATCGACCAGGAAGATGTTCCAGGTCTTCACGGTCACACCTGACCCGACAGGAGGACCAGAATTAGGCTGAAGAACCACCAGAACCTCCAACCATCAGGGGAAACAGAACTCACCTGGGTCGAACTGGACCAGACCGGCTGAGCTGTGAGTGAAGTCTCTGCCCTCTGTGGCCGACCCGTTCTCCACCTGGACCCACCAGAACACAAAACAGGCTTGGGTCTGGTCTGGTTCTACAACGATGAAGGTCTGAAGCTCCAAACACAGCTGTCAGAACCAGTTCTGGTTCTGTTCGATCAGAACTCACCAAGTCATCCTGACCCACTCCTGGAGAACCTGTGGACGGATCACGGAAGAGGACTCACCTGGATGGAGACATAGGCCGGGTCCATGCTCCTGCCGCTCCGTTGCACCTGGATCTGCAGCGTCCCTGAAGTCTCGCAGGTTCTGTAGCAGCTCGCGGACAGTTGGACCCGGGACCAGAACAGCTCCAGTCTGCAGGAGACCAAAGTCAGCAGGTTCTAACAGGACAGGAAGGAGCCCAGGGTCTAAGGAGGACCTCCCCTCCGAGGAGGACCTCACCTCTGAGGAGGAGAAGAGTTTCCTGCCGGGTCTCTGAGACGGAACTCAAAGCTGTCAGATGTCTCCTCCAGGTCTGGCGGGATAACAAAGACCACGTCTCTGAGATCCAGATCCTGCTGGGTGAAGCGGCTTCTGATGAAGGCCCCTGAAACAAGGAGGCAAAGTTCAGTTCTGCTGAGGACCACAGAGGTCCACAAAGGTCCACAAAGGTCCACAGAGGACCACAGAGGTCCACAGAGGACCACAGAGGTCCACAGAGGTCCACAGAGGTCCACAGAGGTCCACAGAGGACCACAGAGGTCCACAGAGGACCACAGAGGACCACAGAGGTCCACAGAGGTCCACAGAGGTCCACAGAGGACCACAGAGGACCACAGAGGACGAAAAAGGACCACTGAGGTCCACTGAGGTCCACTGAGGACCACTGAGGTCCACAGAGGACCACAGAGGACCACAGAGGTCCACTGAGGACCACTGAGGTCCACTGAGGACCACTGAGGTCCACTGAGGACCACAGAGGACCACAGAGGACCACTGGGAGCTGATGAATCTAAAATTAAACGTTTAAAGGAACCGGAGCTAAAATCAGTTTTTCTGATGAAAACTGAACAAACAGAAGAAAGTTCTGAATCTAATAAAGTTCTGCAGGAGGTTCTGAAGACCTTGTCCTTCTGATGGATTTCAGGCCCAGAGTTTTGGGAGTAACACAGGACTTGGTCTAACAGAACTCAACCCAGGAACCGGGACAAGTCACAAGAACCTCAATATTAGAACATAAAGTTCTGATGGGTCAGGAACGGGTCTTTGGACCGACCTGTGCCAACGTTCTCCAGGTACCCAAACTGAGGTGGTCTGCTGATGGAGAACTCCAAATGTTCTGTTAGACTGTCTGGATCCGAGGCCTGCAGGTTCTTGTTGCTGATGAAGAGACCAAACCGTCCAGAACCAAGATCCACCACGGTGCTGGGACTCTGCAGGCCCGTCAGACAGGGAGGGGCCCGGTCCACGTGCTCCACCTGAACAAACAACACAGTATGATAACTGGACTCGGTCCGGTACCAGAACTGAGGAAACAGGTTTGATGTCAGGATTCTGACGGGCTCCACACCAGAACCAGGCGGGACTTTATTTCTGTAAGTTTCTGTCACTTCCTGAACTTTTATTTTGAAGGTGGTTCCCTCCTGTTTCCTGTTCCGTCAGTTAAAATCGTCCTGACTGGTTCTTTTTCAGTAAATGTTCTGTTAGAAACTCCTCATCAGCAGAACCCGTCTGCTCCTGATTCCTGGTTCTGGTTCTGTAAAACCAGCAGCTGCAGTTCGGCCCAGCGGCCACCAGGTGTCAGTGACGTCACACGAAGGAGAATCAGGCGGACCATTGACCCCCCAGAGAACTTTTCTTTGTTCTGTTCCGGTTCTGCTCGGTGGGAGTCCGTCAGAACCACCTGGTCTGATGAACAAAGCAGGCTGGCAGAGAGCCTGGTGACCCTCCCGAGGGAGGGGAGGGAGTTAATCTGCAGGTGAGTTCAGCTGCAAAGAGAGAGTGTGTGTGTGTGTGTGTGGGGGGGGGGGGGGGGGGGCTGGATGAGTGAGCTGCTGTATGGGAACATGTCAGTAACATGTCAGTAGCATGTCAGTAGCATGTCAGTAGCATGTCAGTAACATGTCAGTAACATGTCAGTAGCATGTCAGTAGCATGTCAGTAGCATGTCAGTAACATGTCAGTAGCATGTCAGTAACATGTCAGTAGTATGTCAGTAGCATGTCAGTATTATGTCTGCTGCTCACCTGGATGGTGAACACTGCAGGCTCCGCCCTCAGCTGGCTGAACTCCAGGTATCCTCTGTTGCTGCCGTCGCTCGGCAGGAAGTGGAAGGCGTCGACTTCCGCCCGGCTGCCCGGCGCGTGTCTGTAGACCAGACTCAGCTGGTCCACGTCGGTCTGGAAGAAGCTGCCAGATGTTGACAGCTGGACCCCCCTCAGCAGCAGCTGGCCGTGGCGGGGCAGCCGCGTCACCACGAAGCTCAGGTCGGAGGTCGCGGTGTCGGGGTCGGTGAGCTGCAGCATGGCGGAGGTGATGGTGGCGGTGGAGCCGTCCTGCAGCTGGAGGCCGGCGTTACGGGTCAGGGTTGGTGGGACACGGTCGCCATGTTGGACGGTGAAGAGGAGCGAGCCGTTCAGGGAGGTGTCACCGTTTGTGACGAAGAAGCTGCAGAAACACAGAAACACACCAGCTGCTTCCTCTCACTCATCATTTACCATCAACTGTCATCCAGTGGACTCGAGCCCCCCCCCCCCCCCCCCCCCCCCCCCCCCCC